ATCCTCCTTACGTCCCAATGAACCTCATTCCAAGAGTTCCTGCAACTCAAACTACACCAGAAATACCTGAGCATTATGAGCCTCGTCCTGAAACTAACTGGAGTGACGAAGACAAGGTAATCGTCGAATTAGGGAACAAATGTAAACGGTTGTTAATCATGGCTATTCCTAACAACATCTTCAAATGCATCGATGACTGTCAACTGTCCATGGACATATGGGCAGAACTTGAAAAATCAATCGAAGGTGGAAGGAAGACGCTAAAGAACAATCGTTCGATTTGCATCGAAGAATACTACAGCTTCAAGGCCAAAGAGGGTGAGTCTCTTACGGAWACATACGCTAGGCTAAACACGCTGATTAGCAACTGTAAAAGGTATGGTATTCCTAGAACCACAGAGGAGAACAACTCATTGTTTTTGAAGAGTCTTGGGGATGAATGGTCGACCATTACAATGTCCATGAAGGCCATTCTAGATCTCGAGACATGGACGTTAGCAGACTTGTTTGGATCTCTCAAGAGTCAAGAGTCCCAAGTTATGCAAATGAAGAGAAATCTAGGTGGCCCTCTGGCTTTAGTTGCAGAGGACGGGTGCTCCGGCAAGGGAAAGGAAGGAAATGAGGTGAAGAAGAAGAAAATGGTGTTGATTGCAGACAGTGACCAAAGTTCTGAAGAAGAGGAGATCTCCATGAAAGAGATAATGAAGACCCTTGCACTGATCACAAGAGAATACAGAAAGGGTGGAGACAGGAAGGAGTACAGAAGCTTCAATCGCAGAAGCTTCATAGAAGGAGAGAGATCTGAGAAGAAAGAGAAGGAGCCGAAGCCCTTTCAGAGGAATGAAGAACAGAGGAAGGAAGAGCCCAAGGATGGCTGCTTCAAATGTGGCAAACCTGGCCACTATGCTGCAGMTTGCTGGTCCAAAGGACCCAGGGCACCACAGAGGGGTCCAAAAGACGCAGCCTTTTACAGAAAGAAGGCTGAATACTACCAACAAAAGTCACTACTAGCTCAATCTAGTGAGCTAGTCACAGATGAATCCTCTGAAGATGATAATCAAAAGGGTCTTCTTGCATGGGAAGACTCAGACACAGAGGATGAACTCTTCTGTGGGATGGCTAATGTTGAGACAGWCTCYTCTRCAAGAAATGACCAAGAGGTATCTTYCTCCTCTTCTGATTCTTTTGATTTCTTCACAGAGATTCTTGAAAATGTCGACCAATGTCATTTGGCGCATCAAAGTTCGAAAGAAAAGCTTTTATTTTGTGAAAAGGAAGTCAGGTTGCTCACAGAAGAAAGAAACCGTTCTTTCAAAATGTTTGAAGAAGAGCAAACCAAATTTTTAAATCTTGAAAATTCTTCCAAACTAAAGCTAGCCAAGCTTGAAAAKGATTTGAAAACAAAGGTGGAAGAGCTAAGACAGATGGAGCACGAGAAGTGCAATGTTACCTCTGTGAAGGAGTTCTTTCAAAAGGAAAGGGAATTTTTGCATCAAGTCGTGCTTGACAGAGAGCTCAAAATAAAGAAATTTCAAGAGGCTCAAAACATTTACAAA